ATTGGTCACTGTTTTTCGTTAATAACTCGTTAACGGTGCCTCGGAGAACATTTTTGTAAAGGAAAAAGTTGCTTCAAACCGCCTGAGGAACTCGCCACTTTCGGATTGCGAGACATCTTTGGGACACCCTGTATATACAGTATCAGACTCTGCACAGTACACATCAGACTCTGCCGTTCAGAGAAATAGCCTCGCACAGAATTCAGCCGTACCTAAAAGGTTAAAAGCAACGCTGAAATTTTCAACAAGAGACCGAAGCAAATGCTCTTCAACGCAGACCGTTGATGTTCCCCTCGTACCAGTAATATCTTGTGCGATGCCACGTGAGCAATGTCCCCGTTAATTACTACCGTTCAAAATTCCACCGCTACCATTATTTGCGTGTCGTTCGATCGAATTTAATGAACGCGCTTCATTTGAGGCAGGTCTTGGCTGCCGCGCGATGTAATTACTTAATTCAGTTATTATTCTGGCGCCCGCTCGTCGATACGAAAATTATGGAAACAGAGATGCGCTTTTTGCTCCGGCTCGTTCGAAGCTGCGCGAAAACCATGCTCGACTTCATAAATCATTCGCCGGGCGGAGTGCGGGATAAAATAGATGCACAACCCGTAACGTAAATTCCCAGAAAACAAATGCCATTTTTCTCGATCGCGAGCCGTCGACAACCGGTGAATAATTTCTCTGTAAAGTCGATTTCTTTGTCGCAGTTTCTCCGTGCGCTCTCGCGATACATCTCGACGGATCTCGCCTCGTACCTTATCGATATACAGATGCGCGTAAGGTACCGAGAAATCGTAAGCGATCGGAAATCTTGAAGTTAACCCTTCGCACTCGAGACTGTTTTAATTCCAAAACGAAGACATTTGTTTCAACCTACAGTATTTCCATTTGGTACGATTATTTTTATTTGGTTGAAATTGAACGCGTATGCTTGCAGAAAATTTCTCTATTATTTGGCAATTTATCGGATGCGGACAAATTGAATAATGTGAAAATTCTTTTGAAAATATCGTAGCAATTTTTAGCGCCGCCTCGGAGTCGTCACTCGAGTGCAAAAGGGTTGAAACTGTCAGAACCGTGCGTTAGAATTTTTCAAGTTCGATGATTATCCCGAACCGATCTTCTCGCACGCGCTTTTCCTTCGATCGAAGATCGAGCCGAGGAAGTATGTTCGTTTTACGATTCTTTGATATTTATAAAGCTGTGTGGTCGAGCAAGTTTAATAGAGTCGTAGGCAAGCGAAAGCGCCCTGGTACATGCGAGAGCCGTACGGAAAGGACGTATTCAGATGTAAACTTCCGGGGAAACTCGGGGAACTCGGGCCAGGAGGGCACTCAAAGTGTCTAAGGAACTTGAACGCTTCCCAACAAGACCGAGCGAAACGAAGGCGACGCATTTAGTCACGCGTCGCGTATCGATTTTCCTGGTAATATCTAATTCGAACGATCAACATTTCTCGACATACGTAACGAACAAGTCGCATCGCTAGAAATACATAGTGACAACGTATTCTTTATCGATAATGCTAGTTGTACGCCGATAGTATGTTTAATGACTCCTTGAACTTGCTAGCAGGAATAATAAAGAAGTCGAGCTTATCAGAAATCTTATGCATAATCTGGCGATTCTACCATAACGCCAAAGATAACATTGAAGCACTGAATTAATCGGTCAAATTGTTGAGAATATATTGTGTAGAAATAAATTTTCCGCAACGAGTCTTCTCTCCGCTGACGTTAGAAAGTTCGAACGAAATTCATGTCGTTCAATAGTATTACACGTTTATCACTACACACGTGTACAGAGATGAACGTTATACGTGTCCAAAAGTAGTAGGACAACCGATTGTTTAGAACAAATTGTAATGTTTCATTCAGTTTACGTGACGTCTGCAGACGATTGCATAAATATAACCTTGACATCGTATTATCGAAAATACATATTAACACTATGCCGTACGCAGATCTTAGATATGATTCTTTTGTTTGACGCCGGCATAATAGCTTGGAAATTTTAGATTTCAAAAAAATTTCGAAGATGGCGGCGGTAATATAAATTCCTAAAATTAAGATATGTTATCCAAGAATTTTCGTACTTAATTCTTAGTTAAGTAAGCACAATGCTATAGTTAGTTTGCTGCCTTTTAACACCCAAGAAATATAGTTCAAATGTTACTTCAATTTTTTAAAATGGCACCAAAGTGGTACCACCGGCATACAACAGATAGTTTTTGCATGGCACCAGCGTGGTGCCACCGGACGGCATAGTGTTAAGTTATATGTGTTTGTCAGTTATGCAATTAGTTTAGCCATTTATTACATTTTGTTCATTGGCACGATACGCATCGATTCCCGATATGTTTTCTTAATACGTGGAACATACTACGAAATGCATGCAAACCGAAGAGTATCAAAAATAATCGAAAAGCTAACAAAACGGATGCCGAAATTACTCCAAGAAGTAATTAAAAAACGCGGTGGATATATCGACGAAAAGAAAATTCAATTTCCTTTTATAAAATTGATGTTAAATTTATTACAACGAAATATATATATATAATATATATAATAATATAATAATAATATAATAAACGAAATATATATATAATAATAATAATATAATATAATATATATAATATAATATAAATATATTATATTATATATATATATATTTTGCTGTAATAAATTTAACATCAATTAAAATTCAATAAATATGAGATAATTAAAATTAAATTAAAACAATTCCCTACCTCATATTTATTGAATTTTCTGTAAGCGTCCCAATACCTTTGGAGGGGGGTGTACATTATGTAAAAGTGAAGCTTGTTTGTTAGGACTGCGATTCCACTACGATTAGTGGAATTAATACAGACGAGCCAAGTCGCTATTTAAACAGCGTTGACTCCAGATAAAACAGCGATTAAATATCTGACAGGCCAAATAAAACCGTAAAATTGAGAAAGACACTTTCTCAATGGCGTATGGATATCGGAGGTGGGGCTTGACATTGCGATAGAATCAGATATAAGTAGGATACGTGCACATCTTACTGTCCAAACTCACGCGATCGTGATTACAGGTGCCATCGAAGAGAGGTCGAAATCATGTGGAAAGCAGTGCTGTTTCTCGGCGTTTTCCTCATAATCGGAGGTATGCGACTAAACAATTATCTACATAGACCTAGAACAGTATGGTCCCACAAAGAAATTCCACGGTCGAAAAACAAGCCTGACGCATACGGTGTATCTTGAAACACAGGTAAATCGCAGGAATGCGTGCCACGCGACTTCGGAAACAAGAAGATCGTGTGCGTTTGCAATGCAACCTACTGCGACGAGACGCCGGAGAGAGTCCCAAAAGTGCCGGCAGACGGTAGTTTCTATTGGTACGTTTCAACGAAGGGTGGTCAACGATTGAGTTTCGCGGAACATAAGTTCGGCGAATGTAAAAGCTCGCCGCTCGCGTTACTGAACACCGTCATCTTGAACTTGGACCGTACGAAAAAGTACCAAAGAATTTTAGGTTTTGGCGGTGCGTTCACCGACTCTGCTGGCATAAACATCAAGAAACTTTCGAATGCTAGTCAGGAGCAACTGATTCGGTAAGTTGTACCGCGAAACGATTATGATCGGATCTACTTTAACACGGTATCCGCGGAAAGTGCTAGGAAAAGCTCGGGGAAACTTACATTTTCGTAACCGTGAACCAGTATAGTTTCCTAGATTAATCGAAGGAACGCGATCGTTTGCAGATCATATTTCGGCAAAGGAGGAAGCAGATACTCGATGGGTCGACTGCCGATCGGGGGTACCGATTTTTCAACGAGAGTTTACACGTACGACGATAAGAAAGACGATGTTACCCTGAAGAGCTTCTCGCTGGCGCCAGAAGATTACGATTACAAAATACCGTACCTGAAGAAAGCACTTGAACTGCAACCTGACTTGAAACTCTTCGCCTCTGCCTGGTCTCCTCCACCGTGGATGAAGACCAACGACAAGATCAACGGCTTCGGTGGGTATCTCGCTATTCTTTCTATTACAATGAAACGCGCAAATAACGCTTGTCTAATGGTTCGGCAGGTTTCTTGAAGAAAGGGTATTACTCGCTGTACGTCGACTATCTCTTGAAATTCCTACAGAGCTATAAAGCAAACGGCATCCCTGTATGGGGCCTGTCGACCGGTAACGAGCCAATAAACGCCTACATACCTTTCGATCGTCTGAACACCATGGGATGGACATCCGAGACCTTGGCCGATTGGATCGGCAATTTTTTGGGACCAAAACTTGCCGCGTCCAACTTTAACGATACCTTGATTTTAGCTCTCGACGACCAAAGGGTCTTCTTACCCTGGTTCATACAGAAAGTCTTCGACAACTCAAAGGCGAAACAGTATACCGCCGGTATAGCTGTCCATTTTTACGCCGATTTCCTTTCGCCGCCGTCTGTGTTGACCGACACGCACAACGATTTCCCAGATAAATTAATTCTGATGACCGAGGCATGCACAGGTACGAGCCGTGTCAGTAGTCGTGCAGATAGTTTCATAACATTTAGCGACACACGGTGAACTAATAATTGATTTCAATAGGAGTCGGACCGTTCGTTAAGCACGTGGACCTAGGACAATGGAATCGAGGAGAAAAATACATCATGAGCATAATGGATGTGCGTAGCAATTATGTTGTTCCAACCGGACAGCTTCTGACGTTTATACAATATTGCATTACAATGTCTTCGGGTTGCAAACGTTAATTATTTATACTGTCAACTATTTCAGTATATGAACAATTGGGCGAGCTCGTGGTTCGACTGGAACCTTGTGCTGGACGAGACCGGTGGACCAAACTGGATTCATAACAATGTTGACGCGCCTATTATCGTAAACGCAACGTCCGACGAATTTTACAAGCAGCCGATGTACTACGCTCTGAAGCATTTCAGTAGATTCGTCGAGAGAGGTTCCTCCAAGATATCCATCGACGACGATATCCTAGTTAGAGCCACGGCGTTTGTTACACCGTCCAACGAGACCGTCGTCATCCTCTACAACAGGTAACATCTAACAACGTCTAGTGTTTAATGTCTTCTCTGTAATATCGACTTAATTGTATTTTCATCGGAATTCTTGTGTCATAGATTGGACTTCTCGAAGAACGTTGTCATCAAAGAAGCAAACAAAGAAGACCTCTGTCTAGAACTACCGCCAAAGTCTATGAGTACTATCATCTATGGGCACTAAGATTATTACCGACCGTTAAGCAAAACCAATAATAATAAAAAGCAATTTCAAATTAGCCTTACACAAAAATGCTTTATTTTCCGTCTTGCCCATTTCCGCTGTGCATCTACGTTTTACTCGATGCAATCATAAATTATTAGACTGTGCATGTTTGTGCCGATTCCTGTTACTGTGGTCAATTTTTAATATCGACTTTTCGCCTACTTGATATTAGGAAAGGTGCGGCCGTGAGTCGAAATTTGTGAAGTCGCGGAATAACGACGCATAGTGCGCTGAGAAGGCCAAAAAATCTCGACGAAAAGTGTATATGTAACCGATCCTGGTCACGAAGAATAATAAAAAAATGAAATAAGTAAAAAATAAATAACAGATTAATAAAAAATAATGAGTTTGACTCGTAAATTGAATATAAAATATAATTGAATTAAAATTAAAATGAATAAAGAAAATAGTTTCTTTCAATAAAAAATAACTACTTGATTGAAAAAATAATAATTTCATGTAATCTAAAATTAAATAATTCCAGTCATTATCAAAATTCACAATAGTAGGGCTTCCACTTCTTTATCAAAATATAACTTGTTTTATGTTTCTGGTTCTTAACGAAAATTTACATAAGCATCTGACGAAACTAATAGAAAATTAAAAACATCTTCATTCGTGTTATTTCTCGAGGTTTTTTGCTAACGCGATCTCTTCTGCACACTCGGTGGTCTTTATTTCCTACTTCTTGAGCCTCCTCGGTAACGAAGTTGTTTACCGGCATTTTGTGAGATAACAACCAGGGTCACAATGAACATTGCATTTATTATTAGATACCTATTGACAAATACCTACAAACATGTTTTTCCGACTCGCATGTTGGCGCACATCGGCGCAAGAAAAATATTGTCTTCCGAATTTCATAAACGTTGCTCTTTCTCACATTTAATTGTATTACGTGTAAATTTTTGCTCGAGAAAATGAAAGATAAATATTTTTCGCGACTTTTCCCGAGTCTTGGTATGCGAATTAAGCCAGAAAAAAGTTATTTTTTACATCGCCGTCTTTACTGGCGCATACAGTCTTATCAAACATGCGCTTGAATTCATCTTGAAAACTAGGTATGCTCGGCATAACCGAATTTGAAATATTCTATAACCACGTGAATTTGTTTTCTGAACTGTTTCACTCTTGGGAAGTTTTCATTTATTCCCCTACTAGTCAGAACTATAACAAACTTCATTTTTTCGGACACTCGGAAATACAGAGCTTCTGCCGCTCTCGGACCACTGTGCGACGACTTGCTCTGAATACAAGAAACGAAGGGAAAGGCAAGGATAATTTCGGAACGTGAACAAGAAGAAGAAGAGAAAGGAGGAAAAAGGGGGGGAAGGAAGATCGTGCGTTATTACGTGCACACGGTATCTAGTCACCGAGTAAATATGAATGGGTTTAATATTCCGTAAGCACGAGAGCGCCACTTTTTAAAGTTCATGGATATCCTGCGCGTGACCGGAAAATATTACAAAGCCCCACGGAACACCACCGTCGAGACGCTTCCCTAAGGAAGAACCTGAAATTCGATGGTACATGTAGAAGAGCGGCCGCGTTTCTTGCTTCGAAAACCCTCCCTTTCGAGATTACTTCTCGTGTTCTCTCTCAAGGTTTCCCACGTAATCCCTATGCATTTACCGCATTTATACGTTTCGAGAAAGTGGATGTTGATCCTTAATTTAAAGGCAATGTCCTTTGAAAGTGCAAACGTCTGACAATGCTGTATAGCGTTACAGCCTTCGCGCGTGCTTACGTTCGGCTTGCTTACGTTCGCCGTGCTTACGTAAGATCGTGCAAAAGTTTATTATCGGCATTATAAAACTGAAGGCGGTACATCGTTGGCTCTTGTAGCGATTATCCGCGAATTTAACGATCCCCGGCCTCGGGAACGCGTCGCGTCGACCGGCGTGTGGCTTTTAGATAAATCGCGGTAGAAAAGTTCCTCCGAGCACCTGGCCACGTGACGCGAGGGTGCTCCCTTTCGGAAGCAGCGACGCGAACAGACATCGAAATCCCTTCGAAATTACTTGCGGCGAGGGTTTTATGCGGACGTTGAACAGATTGTTTTGGGACACGGACAGTTCGATAAGTGGATAGGATGCGAGACGATACGGGGAGTGTCCGCGGTGCTTTAATAAATCAAAGAGTCGCCCTCCGTTGAGCGGGACGTTACGAGTTAGGCCTGGAACCGGTGATATGATCCGTAAAAGGCCGAATTTCCGGGAGTGCCCGTCGAAGGAAGCCTGCGCGCCCAAAACGGCGACTTCACCGACCGGTGGTTACTTAGCGTTAGATTCATGGAGCAATAAAAGTCGCTATCACCTTATCAAAATAACAAGGATGTAAATCAATTTCTTGGAAATGGACTGTATATAGGGTGAACCGGGTTTCTTCGCCCAAACGGCGTCAGTATGCTCTACGAGCGAAAATGAGAAGAAAATGCAATATAGGCTCGATTTCGAAGCGTCGGCCGTTTTTGAGAATACAGTATCGACGTCTGTGTAAAATTGAACGGCTTAGTAAACATCGCCTGGATCGAACGAAGATCAGTCCGTTGTTATTTCGTATTTAATAATAATATTATTATAATATTAATAATATTAATAATTATAATATTAATATTAATAATTATAATAATATTAATAATTATAATATTAATAATAATTTATTAATAAAGCATTTTTAGGCCCATATTTATACATTTTTTTCTTATTTTCGCTGACAGAATACCCTGACACCGTTCGGCCGGAAAAGAACACTCTATACATTGTGTAGGGTATTAAAAAATTATGGTATTTCCCGAAAATGAGTTCCTGAGGTGATTAGAAATAACTTTCTCCTTTACAAAAATGTTCTCCGAGGCATCGTTAACGAGTTATTAACAAAAAACAGTGACCAATGAGAAGCGAGCTCGCCTGGCGCTAGGCGGCCGAACCAATGAGCAGAACTGGACTTCGTGCGCTCGTTGGCTGGGCCGAGCTCGCCTCTCATTGGTCAATGTTTTTCGTTGATAACTTGTTAACGATGCCTCGGAGAAAATTTTTGTAAAGGAAAAAGTTGCTTCGAGTGACCTCAGTAATCTCTAATTTCCCGGAAGCGCCATAATCTTGGAACACCCTGTATGCCAATCTCCAGACATAAATCAACAATGAATTTACAATTTCCGAAGGAATTGAATTTGCTTCGACATGTAAATACAGAGTTGACGTTCATATATGTCACGCACAATCGCGTAATTTTGATGTGATTTTAGTTGAACATGGTCAGAAAGGATGCATTCCCTAACTGATCTCCCTAATCTCCCGCTCAGCTAGGAAACAAAAATGGACGATTTGGAGACAAAGACAAAGAGGAGATATGATTATTCGAGCCTTGCGGCTCGCTTTTATAATTATCGATTGTCAACAACTATAAAAACGAGCCGGAAGACTCTCCACTTCCCAAATTGACCACTTTTGTTTCCAAGCTGAGCGTCAATCAGGGAGAATTTACTGTACTTTTCAAGCTACAGTAATGTCTCCCTAATTGACGCTCAGATTGTTCACAAAAATGGACAATTTGGTAAGAGGAGCCTAGCGAATTAAAACGATTATAAAAACATGATGCAAAGCCGGAATAATCGTGTCTCCTGTTCCCAAATTGTCCATTTTTCTGCACAATCTAAGCGTCAGTTAGGGAGACGTTACTGTACATGCATCGAAATCAACGTGGTTCCGAGTAGAATAAAATGGCATAAAATAGAATATTACGTATCCCCGTTCGACAGCTGGTTGAAGAATCGTGTCGATGCTAATTTATTAGCATCAAGCCTCGGATGGCATTGCATGCAGTCATCGCAACGTAACGTCTCAAAAATAGAACAAATACATATTTTCTTTTTCACAAGGAAACGGAACGAAAACAATTTTCGGCGCACGCATTCCGTTCCGTTCTGCGTTGCCTGTTGTCGCGCAACCTGGAAGACAACATCCCGTAATTATGCAAATCGGCGGGCAAAACTTTTTAATGAAAATTTGTAATCTCGAATTTTCTAAGAACTTGAAACTTTCGTGGCGCGATGAAAATGTTAATCAAACGGTGTCCCGGCGTTTCGGCGTAACATCGAGTATTTAATGTGGTTTGTCGTTTGCATTCGAATGCGTCTCCTCCCTCTTCGTCGTCCTCCGTTCATTTTAACGTGCCAGAAAGGAGATAACAAGCGGCCGGTGGACTTTCTTCAAATGACGTCCGAGCCTTGCCGATTTAATCTGCCGGCGGCAGAGTAATCTACCGTTAAAAAGGCGATTTCGCTCGATTTTTGTAACGTGTTTTTGCTTTGCAATTATTGTTATCGTAGCTGTACATGTACCACCTAAACGCGATAACGTTAAACCTATATCGAGTATTAATAACGGCACACGTGTGTTCGCTTCAACAGAACGATAGCTAATTTATTTGGGCCGGAGACGTGTTTGTAAGCGTACGTGTGCCCGTAAATTATTTCACGTATGTTTAAATACGCGTGTAATTAAGTACACGTGAAATACTATACGGACGTTAAAATATATAGGTGAAATAATAATAAATTCGCGGATACGCGTGTGCTCTTTAAAATATCACTAATCGAGGTACGTGTATACGATGTTCACATGTACAACGTGTATTTAAGGATACGTGAAACGAGAATCTCTAATTTAGAGACTCTCCTCTGTTTTTCCAATCCTCTCATTGGAATGCAACACCCTCTGGTTTTCACGATTTCGAAAGCTTTAACACGTTGGCTGCTGTGGGGGTCACCGGTGACCGACGATGCGACAAATGGTTAAAATACATAATTAGGGTAAACATCGATACTTATAAATTTCTAAATAATACCATTGTTTCTGTAATGCTTTGAAAAAATGAATGCCGTACAGAACATGCAAACATAATTTTATTAATACAAGGAAATATACGTGTTATTTGTGCGCATGACGATGAAACACATCGAAACACGGTAGGCACAGAAAAGATGAACCAGAACAGTCAGCACAATATGTCGTCACTTTCTTAGTGCAATTCTTTGCTCTCATTCTTCCTAGCTGTTTTGTATTTTTTTCATAACACAATTTGCAAAATCGTCTTATATTTCGCATACTTCCCGGTTCCCTTTTAAGTTCACGACGACGTTTTTTCTGTACGTAATTGCTTAGTGAAGTGCAATCTTCGTCGTTAGAACATTTCACTAAATACACCGCTAACTTCATCCTAAACTCGGAGATTGAAATATAATCGCAAAAACGGTCTGCGGCGTCTTGGGGGTCACCGGTGACCCCCGCCACGAAAAATGCATAAAATAAGTTTATACAACTAAACTTATCTGCTGTAAATAATATTTCAATATAATATGCATCGCATAACGAAAAATTCATGTTGGCGCCTTGGGCAAGTCACGTAAAAATCGCGCGGCAGCCAACGTGCTAGGATACAAAATATGTTTGAATTTGAAACCGCGTTGAATCCACGGACTGCCGAAGTTCTGGTTTTCCTGCGACTTCGAGAATTTATTTAAAATTGAGTAACGATCCAGTAAGGAGCATTTACGGATTTGGTAAAAATTCGTAGGTCCGTGTTTATTGCTCGAATTTGTTTCGTTGACAGAAACGTTTCACGCTAAATACGCTGTTCGGGTTTCTCGCGAACTATCCGACGGCTCCTGTTGGAGAACTGCTGGCAAGTTTCTGCAATAAAATGCCGAAACGAAATTTCGTTTACATTCGAAGAACCTAATACGGGCTAGAAACTTAGGTCGCCAGGTTAATATCAAGCTAACCCCGGGTCACCGAGAGGATTTCCCCGAAAGCGCCCGTGTAATCGCCTGCTAGAGTTTAATATAAGAAAAACAGGAGGAAAAAAAGAGAATGTTAGCCAGCTCGAGCGGATGCTTGGAGGAATTTTCCGTGCCATTCCTTCTCGCTGGTCGAAACAGTCCTTTTATTAAGTAAAGTTCGGCAGACTGCGGAACTCATTATCCGTGTAACCCGCGGCGCGCCGATGGAAAATTTCATTTTGAGATCGTTATCCGTCGCAATTTGCGCGGAACCATGAAAAATCTCGTTGTTGTTGTCCTCGCGCGTCCTGCACGTCCAATGAACCGGACTCCAGCCGAACGGATTTTCATGGTTTTACCGAGCAAATTTTCGATCTGCGCGATCTCGTCGTTTCCCTCGGTTCGCCGGTGCAACGAAAAAAATTATTGATTATTTCCGCCCGAATCTGAACGCTGTTCTCCAAGTGACATATTTCTTTTGTCTTTTCATCGAAAAGAATTTCAATCTCTATCGACATGATTTTGCAGAAATTGCATTAAATTGGATTGAATCGCAGACGCGTGGCGGCCGTACAGACATTTCGGGTAAAGAAAATTATATTAATTTTATTTAATAGTAATATTAATATATTAATTTTATTTTTAATATTAATATTAATATATTAATTTTATTTAATAGTAATATTAATATATCAATTTTATTTAATATTAATATTAATATATTAATTTTATTTAATATTAATATTAATATATTAATTTTATTTAATATTAATTTTATGCACGCCGTATTTTAAAATCATAATACCTACAATTTATAGTATTACTATCGTGTATCTCGCGGATTTATCAAATATTTGCAAATGTATTTAGCGTACGAACAAATATAAAAACGGCTATTTATTGATTATCTTTCAGCAAATATGTACTGTATTTATAGCTGTATTTACTGTCGCAAGAGGCAAGCACAACGCTTTGTTTTTCACAACGTAGTTCTTCCTTATTTTTTTTTAACTTTCGAGAAACTTCGCTGTTTGCTGCGTCGAGATAGGACGTTCAACCTCAGATAATACGTTCGGCCTATTAATTACGGTATCAACGATACGGCTTACAGCAGAAACATGCCCTGATTGTGGTACATACAGCAAGAAAGATGTTTGCCAACCGAGGTAAACGTCCTCCGCTAGAAACAGAAAAAAGACTTTCGTAAAGTCAAATATTTTTATCGCCGAAATCGGATTTAAATGTCAAAAAGAAGCAGACGCGAGAACGCTTCGCGGAACGAACGATAATTTCCGCTCGGTTCGTTCGAACGGAGATGAACGGATCGAGCATTCCAGACAGTAAGTCAGGAATAAAGAATTAGGGTAACCGCGAGCCAGGCTCCAACTGCCGACAATTGCAAAACTCGGCTATGATTCGCTGCTCGGTTCTCTTCCGGATAATTTTCTCGTCGGTGTTGCGAGCAAATGTAAATTTGATGTCGCCATCGAAATCGATCGGAATCGTTGAACGCAGCTGCTCGAGCCGCGCGTGCGGATCGTTCGTTTCATGTGCCAGAGCAGAACATCTCTCTGGCGCGACCATAATCCCGGCCTTTAAACGGTTCAAGAAAATGCATCGCCGCCGCTGCAGTTACGCGGTTACAATAATATATCTCAACGTTTCTCTCTTCTAACCGTATAATTTTTCACGGGGAAGACGTATAATTCCACAATGGAGACTCAACGATAATATTTTTTTCGAACAAAGGAGCGACGCGCGCATTGTCCTCGGACGAGATTTAATGAAAATCGTTAAAACTGTTCCTGAAATGAAAGAAAACTGCCCCCTCTACCGAGCCATCGACTCTTAAAAATATTCGAAACAATTGATTTCGTCGAGGCTGCGACACAAGACCGGCGTGGAATCTGTAACTGTGAGAACTCGTATAGGATCCTGCGCTCGTATCGAGTAGTCCCTTTCATCGGCCACGGTTGCGAATAACAAAGCCCGAACTGTCCACGGTTCTGCCCTCAGAAAATCACGCTCGAATCTCGTGGTCCAATCAAGCGGAATGATATTTAACACGTTCCGTGCCACGTGTACCATCGATGGTACACGCTTGCATGTTTACTTAGTGAACTGAACAAATTGTTTCCAAGAAATTTAGAACCGAAGAATCAATTTCCACCGCAAGAATGGGCGTTGATAAGTTTTTGTTACGTTGTTATGTGTACGAGAATTAATAATTGCACGTAATACATCAAGTTTTAGTCAAATATCAAAGTGTGAAGATTCGAGTAAAAAAAGGAACGTGTTAAGCGAAGCGATAGCTGTTGATTAAGTTCTTCGTTCTTCGAAGCGGCAGGACCACTCACGGCGTAATTAGCGACGGACGGCCAACAAGATTCATTGTAATAACATTCATACTTTTTAGGGAAACGTGTCTCACGTTGCGAAACAAAGTAACAAATACATACCTGGATGTGTCCTCTCGTGGACACGCATGTAACCACCTTGCGCCGACGTGTTCGAGCTGAACTGGCTGCGAACAGGATTACAGGACTCATTGCTAATTCGCGTTCCTACCGAACATCGAGAGATACATATATGCATGGCAATTTCGGATAATTTTACTCTACAAGCAAGGTTATATCGATTAGTAACAAGATCTTATCAGTGAATATTTCCATATTGTATCATTACTTCAAACGCATAGTGAATAAGTAGAATCGCCTCATACTGCACCGCGCACTGAACCGCACGCTTCGACGACGATAACGTGTCACCCAAGTGAGTAACTTTACGCCACAAAAAATTCTATTTAAAAAATCGAAGGATCTGCAAGGTCTGGGATTCGGATTTCAGAAGAGGGATATCAAATATACAGTTGATTGAGGAGTTAATAATAAGTGCATGATCTTGTAACGGATCGTTTATTTACTTATTCATTTATTCGATTATATAATTTTCGGGGGCGAGGCTCGTCAATAAATGCGATAAAAGCAAAAATTTGTAACGAAGCTACACAACTAAATTACATTATTAAATGTGTACAAGAGAGCACAGATGAATTGCCGATAAAGTATAGAAATAAATTATCCGCGATGAGTCCTTTCCAACAACGACAGAGAGCTGCAAATAGAAATTCATGAGATGTAGAAATTAGTGTTACACATTATAAAGATAACTAACTGAAATAATAAAGATAACACCGTCGACTCGAATCAAAGGAGCCGACGATAAATAAGGTGAAAATGGCCACTTTGAAACATTTCACTTGAGATATAACATTATCATCGATTTTACTACAACTTAAAATTGTTATTGTTGAATATTTAAACCACTGTTTTGTAGATTGATGTTTCCAGATAACGTAATGAACTTGGAAATATTTATTTAATACGAATACAAATGATTACGAGTAAAATAATAACATACGAACACGTACCTAATATGGAACATCGTTTTCGCACCATGACCCCGAATAAACATTTTGTACAATTGATTATGACATAACAGTATATGTGTGAGCGAATTTATAAGGAAAAACGTTCAAAAATATGAGTCAAGTTTTTTCATCCACTTTCAGATCCTCTATCTATTTTTTACTATATTGTTTGTGCTACTGTTTCACGAAGGGATCACAATACAGCGGTGTTTCCGAATAAGTACCTTCACCATAGCTCACAGCACGAACAAAACAATTAAAACGCTTTCTGCGACAGAATGGAATTTACGCAAGATACGCGTAAGATTCACGTATTACTGTAAAAATTCGCACGATCATGATTGCAGGTGCTATCGAAGAGAGATGGAAGTCGTGTGGAAATCTGTGCTGTTTCTCGGTGTTTTCCTCATAATAGGAGGTATGCGACTAAACGATTATCTACTAAGGGATTATGCCTAGAAATGTATACGGTCCCTCAAAGAAATTCCGCGGTCGAAAATAAGCCCCACGATTACGGTGTGTCGTGAATCGCAGGTAAATCGCAGGAGTGCGTGCCTCGTAGCTTCGGAAACCAGAAGATCGTGTGCGTTTGCAATGCAACCTACTGCGACGAGACGCCGGAAAGAGTTCCAAAAGTACCGAAGAATGGCAGTTTCTACTGGTACGTCTCGACGAAGGGTGGCCAACGATTAAACTTTTCGGAAAAGAAGTTCGGCCAATGTGATAGGTCGCTACTCTCGTTACTGAACACCGTCACCTTGAACTTGGATCATACGAAAAAGTACCAAAGCATCTTAGGTTTTGGCGGTGCGTTCACCGATTCTAGTGGCATACATATAAAGTCACTTTCGAATGCTACTCAGGAGCAGCTGCTTCGGTAAGATGTGCCACTAAACGATTATGATCAGTTTTATTTTTACATGACATCCGCGGAAAGTTCTAGGGGAAGCTCGGGGAAACTTACATTTTCGTAATCGTGGTTCAGTACAGTTTCCCAGATTAATCGAAGGAACGCGATCGCTTGCAGATCATATTTCGGCAAAGGAGGAAGCAGATACTCGATGGGTCGACTGCCGATCGGGGGTACCGATTTTTCAACGAGAGTTTACACGTACGACGATAAGAAAGACGATGTTACCCTGAAGAGCTTCTCGCTGGCGCCAGAAGATTACGATTACAAAATACCGTACCTGAAGAAAGCACTTGAACTGCAACCTGACTTGAAACTCTTCGCCTCTGCCTGGTCTCCTCCACCGTGGATGAAGACCAACGACAAGATCAACGGCTTCGGTGGGTATCTCGCTATTCTTTCTATTACAATGAAACGCGCAAATAACGCTTTCCTCATTGTTCGGCAGGTTTCTTGAAGGAAGAGTATTACTCGCTGTACGTCGACTATCTCTTGAAATTCCTAGAAAGCTATAAAGCAAATGACATTCCTGTATGGGGCATGTCGACGGGCAACGAGCCAGTAAACGCCGTCATACCTTTCGATCGTCTGAACACCATGGGATGGATACCTGAATCAATGGCCGATTGGGTCGGCAATTATTTGGGACCAAAACTTGCCGCGTCCAAGTTTAACGATACCTTGATTTTAGCTCTCGACGACCAAAGGATCTTCTTACCCTGGTACATACAGAAACTCTTCGACAACTCAAAGGCGAAACAGTATACCGCCGGTGTAGCTGTCCATTTTTACGCCGATTTCTTGTGGCCGGCGTCTGTGTTGACCGATACGCACAACGATTTCCCAGATAAATTTATTCTGATGACCGAGGCATGCACAGGTACGAGCCGTGTCAGTAGTCGTGCAGATAGTTTCATAACATTTAGCGACACACGGTGAACTAGTAATTGATTTCAATAGGGGCCGGACCGTTCGTTAAACACGTGGACCTAGGACAATGGAATCGGGGAGAAATATACATCATGAGCATAATGGATGTGCGTAGCAATTATGTTGTTCTAACCGGAGAGCTTCTGGCGTTTATACAACATTCCATTACAGTATTTTCACGTTGCAAACGTTAATTATTTATGCTATTAACATTTTCAGTATATGAACAACTGGTCGGTCGGATGGCTCGACTGGAACCTTGTGCTGGACGAGACCGGTGGACCGAACTGGTTCCAGAACAATGTTGACGCGCCTATTATCGTAAACGCAACGTCCGACGAATTTTACAAGCAGCCGATGTACTACGCTCTGAAGCATTTCAGTAGATTCGTCGAGAGAGGTTCCTCCAGGATATCCATCGACGACGATCTCCTAGTTAGAGCCTCGGCGTTTGTTACACCGTCCAACGAGACCGTCGTCGTCCTCTACAACAGGTAACATCTAACAACGTCTAATGTTTAATGTCTTCTCTGTAATATCGACTTAATTGTATTTTCATCGGAATTCTTGTGTCATAGATTGGACTTCTCGAGGAACGTTGTCATCAAAGAAGCAAACAAAGAAGACCTCTGTCTAGAACTACCGCCAAAGTCTATGAATACTATCATCTATGGGTACTAGGATTCTTTTCGATCGTTGAGCATTATCAATAATAATAAACAGCAATTTCAAATTAGCCTTACACAAAAATGCTTTATTTTCCATTCTGCCCACTTCGTCTATGCATCTACGTTTTGCTCGATGCAATTATTAGACTGTGCATGTTCATGCAAATTATTGTTATCGTGAACAATTTTTAATGCTAACTTTTCAGTTTTCTTGTTTCGAGTTGCAAACAGACGAAACATGTAAAGCCATATCACGTTATTAGTTGTGTACCGTCTATTAGATTCTGATCTTAACTGAATACACTTAGAAAAATAGAGCGAATGAAGTTGAGGAATGAAGAAGATCAGTGGTAAATTTGAAAATGAACTCCGTGAAGACCATAGTATGGAGGTGAAAGCAAAAGGAAGCCGGAAATGAATGGGATCGGTACTTGTTTTGAAAGTTTCAAAGTGTGAAAACAGTGTTCTATTAAAATCTGAATTACTTTTCTTCTGCTTTGAACCGCAGCACGCGCATAGATCCCCGACTATTTGAAGGCCACTGTAGTGAACTTCTTCCGTCTGTTTTTGAGGGATGTACAGGGATGAAAGGAAAGAAACCAAGAATTGTTTTAATACTTCTCCGCACTATTCGCTAGCACGGTTACATCGTTCGACGAGACCTCGACCCTCGCAATTACGGAACTGCCTCTCGTTTTCAGGAACATTATGCGGCCCTCTTTGTCCGAAGTCGTAACTGACCAGCAGTGGCTTCTATCCTCTGAGACTTCCGGTCGGGCTGTCCGATAGATCGTAACGCCGCAATAGGTCGGTTTACAAACGCGTACGTTTCGACTACTTCCGAAACTGTGCGGCACGCATACGTTTATCGTGAAAAAAGAATACTGGAAAGTGGCTAAAACTTTCGCAAGGGATCTGAATCACGAAGCTTCATTGCCATTGAACGTTGAGCTTAACGCGTCCACTGCGGAATCGCAATCGAAAAAATCCCAGAAAAGCAAAGCAATTTGGTTAATGAAACCGAAACTGAAAGCCTGAGATTCATCGCAGTAATTTTTCATTGACTTCTATTGCTTATCTTAATAGATGAACTGCAGATTTTATCCATTTGTGGCGAGTGGAAATCGAAGAAGGGCAACGACACCAAAAAACATCAGAAAAGCTTTAAAATGTTACCTTATTTTAATTTATTGTAATCAAAGTAAGCCATTTTTATTTTATATATAGATTCATAATTTACAGACAGATCCGTATTATACAATAGTACGTTTCATTATATAGTAAAGTATCGATTAATCTGTAACTACATCCCTTTTTTATAAGGAAAGTTAACGGCCTAAGACTATTCCGAGGTTACAGAAACGTTGAGAAGACTCTTCTATATTTATATCATGCTGAAACAATTTATTTATAATTGCATATATTTAGAAAGGGCGATTTTTGTCGCTGTTGCCGTAAAATGCAAAATGAAATCCGATAACAATTAATTGCTGTTAGGCGATACTAGTGCCTCTTGTGACAAAATATCAAAGCTCTGTTACAGGGTATACACAGCGCCACAGACTTAGGATCCATACAAACATTGCATGCAATGCTTTTTTTTGTCTCAGGGTCTGCATCACCGACAGTGTAAAAAGAGCAAGAGGCTCCTGGCTCCTTGAAACAAACCCGAATTGAACCTGGTACGATAGCGATCTCTACCTAAATGGAACTGCCAGCTGGTGAACTACATCTGACTGCGACAGAGGAAGGTGTGTGTCTGAGGCTAGAACCCTAAAAAGGTGAAACTGATAGCCAAATTTAATTCAGAATTACGACGCAGATGGCGTCACCATACAAAACCCAGTATGTATGGACTTTCTAGATTTACATTTTTTGTAATGTATTTTTGCCCATGAAATCGTAGTGATGCATTGCCTTATTTTCCAATAAATAAACAGCGACTCACATTTTATTGGGTATAGTGTGGGGGTATAGGATAAGTGAACTAATTGATTGTAACATTTCCACTCAACACTTACAATTTAATAAGGTATTTGATATTTTTTAATTTAAATATTTTNGCCTGAGATTCATCGCAGTAATTTTTCATTGACTTCTATTGCTTATCTTAATAGATGAACTGCAGATTTTATCCATTTGTGGCGAGTGGAAATCGAAGAAGGGCAACGACACCAAAAAACATCAGAAAAGCTTTAAAATGTTACCTTATTTTAATTTATTGTAATCAAAGTAAGCCATTTTTATTTTATATATAGATTCATAATTTACAGACAGATCCGTATTATACAATAGTACGTTTCATTATATAGTAAAGTATCGATTAATCTGTAACTACATCCCTTTTTTATAAGGAAAGTTAACGGCCTAAGACTATTCCGAGGTTACAGAAACGTTGAGAAGACTCTTCTATATTTATATCATGCTGAAACAATTTATTTATAATTGCATATATTTAGAAAGGGCGATTTTTGTCGCTGTTGCCGTAAAATGCAAAATGAAATCCGATAACAATTAATTGCTGTTAGGCGATACTAGTGCCTCTTGTGACAAAATATCAAAGCTCTGTTACAGGGTATACACAGCGCCACAGACTTAGGATCCATACAAACATTGCATGCAATGCTTTTTTTTGTCTCAGGGTCTGCATCACCGACAGTGTAAAAAGAGCAAGAGGCTCCTGGCTCCTTGAAACAAACCCGAATTGAACCTGGTACGATAGCGATCTCTACCTAAATGGAACTGCCAGCTGGTGAACTACATCTGACTGCGACAGAGGAAGGTGTGTGTCTGAGGCTAGAACCCTAAAAAGGTGAAACTGATAGCCAAATTTAATTCAGAATTACGACGCAGATGGCGTCACCATACAAAACCCAGTATGTATGGACTTTCTAGATTTACATTTTTTGTAATGTATTTTTGCCCATGAAATCGTAGTGATGCATTGCCTTATTTTCCAATAAATAAACAGCGACTCACATTTTATTGGGTATAGTGTGGGGGTATAGGATAAGTGAACTAATTGATTGTAACATTTCCACTCAACACTTACAATTTAATAAGGTATTTGATATTTTTTAATTTAAATATTTTGATATGAAATTATCAAACTAATAAATAAATTATTCCCGTTTCATGTATACCTGTTCACTCTGAGAATATTTATTATATAAATAATAATATATTAATATATATTATATATATAATATATATATATATTATTATTAATATATATTACATATATAATAATATATATTAATATTAAATAATAATTGAATTAATATTTATATGGTGACAAAAACTTCATAAACATGATTCATAAACTTAATCGAGATTTAAAACTTGTCGATAAAATGGAAAACATTAATTATCTACATTTAGCTAGCAGTTTTAGCGTTTTCAGCGTTTACTAATTGGCGCTGTACGGACCTCTGAACAGAACTTCCAGATTTTACCACCAGATGCGCTATCATCATCTAAGAAAGAAATAATGTCTGCCGGATTTTATGTTTTATCTTGAGGTAAAAACGGTAAAATTCATTTGCTTTGTATATTTACGATAATAAATTGAGTACTTCGTCCAGGTATCTCAAGTTGTATTCTCACATTGACATCCCTCTATGTATGAACGTTCGATGACCCAGCGAATAGGTGTATGCGACACAGTGTGAAAATAATACCTACATGTCAAAATCCGTTAAGATTTATTACGGTTAATCTTCGTTTACACATATTACAGTGTTGTGTCGTTACGCACGAGATTCCGACGAACTATGCAAGACTTTCCGTACGTGTTGTCAGAGTATGAGGAAATAAATTCTCTTCTTTACAAACCTATCAATTCCACCCAACGAATCAAGGTATCCTATTCAACTATTACACTCTTTTTATATAATAAACATAAGTAATCACGCAGTCTGACAGTCATAATACCTGTGACATCTTCACCAATTAATTTTCGGTCTTCCTATTGTTATCCTGTTTACACCCGTCTATAGTTCACTAACATTAATATTCTCACACGAATCAAGTTCGAGCAGATGCTGTTACTCGATTATTGCTTCAAACTATATGCTTATGAATTTATAGTACACATGCTTCAATGTATCGCCCAACTACATCATCCTAGGCTCGACCAGTGGCAGCGTCTATCTGTTCTCGAGAAAGCCATGTTCATTTCTACAACTAATACCATTATCGGTAAATTGTTTTTTTTTTATGGAAGGTATATTGACTCCACAATATCGCACTATTAATTTATTATTTGTTTGACAATGACAGGAGGGAGCAGTCTCTCGAGTTCTGATATCACCTGATGAAAAAATAATTGCATTGTCAACTATACGTGGAGCTGTTTGTCTAATATCTTTGAAGCCTACATCAAAATTAATAGCTATATCCTCAGAGCATATAAATGAGCAGATTAATTGCCTCTGTTGGAATGATACTAGCTCTGAAGTGTATATTGGGGATTGGAATGGTAAAATTTCAGTCATGGTATTGCCAACTTTTAAGGTAAGCAAGATATTCGGTTTATCTATTTACAAACGTAAAAAAGGATTATAACCAAATAAAGATGTAATGTTTTAGGTCAATGGCATGTTTCAAACATCGTCTTGTACCTTAATGGATCTTGATTCAGCCATTGTGCAACTAAGTTTCTCTTCATCTTTGTTACTTGCATCAACCTTAACACGTTGTTACATCTGTGACACTGTACAGGAACACTATAAACTGGTGGGGAACAAGGCTCGCTATGGAGAATTCGGTGCCTGTTTTTACAAGACGTATCATTCAGAGGGTAACAGTACTCCAGTTGCCCAAAAAGAAGAGAAGCTAGTCAATAGAAAGCATTTCAACTTCAACCTCATTCCCGAGGGAAACAGTAATGTACAGGAGGAGAACTTTCCACAGATATTTTGCGCTCGGCCAGGGTTCAGGCTGTGGGAAGTGTCTGCAAACGGAGTGGTAATGAAGACTCATCAGTTCAAAGAGGCATTAGCTGTTCCACCTGTAACAATATGTAAACTGAATCTCAAAAAATCTACGTGCCAGAAGCAAATGGAGCAGACTTGGATACCGCAATCCGCCAACTTCTCACGTTTGTTTGTTATCGCTAAAAAATATTTATTTTCGTATACTTCCAGAGGCCTATATGTACTCGACCCAGTGACTGCAACTGTGGTACTGTGGAACAACGAATTTTCGAATATAACTATGGCAGATACTGTAGAAAATAGGATATATTTGATGACAACTGATGGAGAATTTCATTGTTTGACTTTGTCTTTCTTAGACTCTTTAATATTGCGATTGTACAATAGGAAAAAGTATTATGAATGCTTAGAAATATGTCTAATGCACAAAGTACAACTGAGGAAGTTAATAAACAGCCTAGAGATCGGCAAAGTGTGCGACGTGGAGAATAAATTTCAGATACTTAGGGACGACGAATTGTCAACGTTGTTACATCCTTTGACGAATCTTTTAGAATCGAATTCCAAAGCTAGTCCCAAGAAATTAGATTCAGGTATTGTTGTAGTCAATTCCGGGAACTCTGTTTTAAACGAAGAGGAAACTTTCAGGCTCAAGTCTGCATCTCATTGCACCAAGAAGAACCGAGAATCTGAATTAAAAGAGGAGACTGATAAGATTAACAAAAGTGAAGACACCAATTGTAATACAGCGCATGAAGAAGAAAACAATGTTGAAAAGGTATCAGAGGAGTCAAAAGAGGAGCTAGACCCCAACAGAAGCGCGATGCAGAAAATACAAGCAGATTTGGAAGTTGTGTACGCATTAATTGGAAATATTAGACACTCTATGAGCGAGGGGGAATTAGAAAGCATAATATTAGATGTTGATTGGAGAATGAACGTTATCAAAGACTTTTACAAGAGTCTAACTGACCTAAAGAGTTTCCTGTACGAAATATTGAGGAGCGCCGAGTTGTATTACTTCAACACTTTGTTAGAGAACGTTTCTATGCAATTACTTCAATATACGGATAATACGCACATTATAAAGCAGATAATGAAAGCTTTCGTTAACGTAAATGTTCAGAATTGCAAAAGGTGTACCTGTGGTAATCCATATTCGATCAATGAGTTAGCAGAACCAAAGTTCCTGGGGATTGGCAGATCCCTTCTCAAAAAATTCGTAAATGAGAACCAAGAACAATGTATAAATTTATGCAATAGTGTACCTTACATGTGGAGGGAATATTTACCAGTGTCTGTAGAGCAGAATGATGTACTGATGAGTGATTCGCTACGTCAGTGCCTTCAGATCAGAGACATCATTGTGCTGTCTATGCTTCTACCATCATTGGATGGAAAACTCTGGAATCTTTTAGCAGTATACACGAAGCAGACTCAGGAAGGACTGTGTCTGTTTTGTGGTAAGTATATAAAGTATGGAAATAATGAGACATCAGAGATGATAGAATGGAGTGCTGTGATACATGAAATTATGAAGAAGCAGGGACCTGATTTTGCTATGACACTATTAGTTAAGTTAGAGAAGACTATACCGAACGTTTCTATTGATAAAAGGTAATCTTCAATATTATAATTGTATAATGCATTTTTACAATTATATTGTTAAATGTAATTGCTATGGATTTTTGTAGCGTATTCCAGTCGCTCATATTTACGAAAATCTTGCACCAACATGGAATGAAACGCACAATTAACTTCAATAAGAACAGTCTCGACTCATCGGAATATAATACAATGTGTTCAGCAAAGGTAGTTGATCGTTTTAAGCAAGGAAGATACGACAAGCATAAATACAGAAGAAATGTATTGCTTTCTGTAGGTTCGAGACGAATTGGTGGACGTTCTTGAGAAGGACCTAGGTAGATCGGTTAGCAATAATATTTTTGGTAGCGGGGCTCATCACTGGGGAATGCAATATCAGAACAAGCTCTCTACGTGCCCCTGCTGCACTCTGTCTCTTCAAACGCCGGTTTTGCTAGGTAACAATGGAATAGCGATATTCGGTTGCGGTCATGCTTATCACGTGAACTGTATGATCGAAAAGAAACTTACAACGTGTAATCTTCATTCTTAAATGTATGCACTTGACGAAATAAAAGAAGTCTCGTAACAGAACATTTGGATATGTAGGCAGTAGTTTATAATGACTTTCAAATATTGCTCATCTAGTCACGAAGATGAACATTTTGATACGTGATTTCATAAAGAGATTCAAAACAAGTAGCATTGTAAGCGTTCGTACAAATTTATTGTCTCTGTACAGATCTCTCTCGCAGACAAACTTAATAAATAATCATGCCCAAGTTCATTGTGATATGACTAATCTAGATAATGATATGAACTCTTTGGTAAAGTACTGAAGAATATAAAGTTACGCTTTGATTATATATAATATATATATATATATATAAATAAATACATACATTTTTCGAGATAAATTATAATGTTGATGTTAAATTACTGATACTTCTAACTACTGTTGAGAATCATATTAATTTTATAAATTAAACGTTTCGACATCCGTTATAGTCCTGCTATGTACATCTTAGATTTATTTTAATATGCTTTAGAAAAATAATATTCGCGCTCTTCCTCTCATAATAATCATGTACAGAATTTGTACTGTTCAACTACGTACTTAATATATATTTAATTAAACAATGAATTCTATTCTCAATTGAACACTTACCTTATTTCATAGTTTTATTGCTCGATTTAACAATATTTATACAGAATGAGGCATTCAGTCCTGTACCGGAAAAAAGGAATTGTTAATCCTTTCAAAGGACTCGATTGATACGAATACTTAATATACTCAATAGTATTGTTGCGGGGATCGTAATTATACTTTGAATAATAACTGAACAGAAGAAAACTATGATAAAATATCAGTTGTATTAGTCAGTTGAGTGTTCATACGATTCATTATTAACCATGCATTTTACGCTGAAGTATCAATTATTGTATTATTAAAAATAGTTCGAGGAGATTGAAGGCGTCCTAGCGTGGAAAATTAGTATTACTAATGCCAAGGCCGTAATAACAAGAACTATTAGTTTTGTATCATTATCAACTATAAACTCAGTTGGCAATGAAAATTTTTACGGCCCGAAATACATAATTATTTATCCTGAAAAATTATAAAACAATAAGCGTGAATTTCATAACGTATCTATTAACAAAAACTTAAATAATAATCGCAAAATATTATTTCTCTATGACTGTGATGTAATTTAATGAATTTATTGCAGGCCTTTGCCAATTATATGAACGGAAAGATTGATAAAGTTTTATCCATGCAATTCAATTAGAATAAATTGTTTGTTACCGTGTTGTTACATGAAACTAAAACTGAAATGGAAGCTAGTAGTTTTTTATAGTTTCTCAATATTTTGACATTTGTCCTTTTCTTAACTCTTCCATTATGTCTAGAGTAAATAATGTATTTCGGACTTCTTAAAATTTGCAAAATGGTATTCCATGAAATTTGTACTATGTTTAAAATATCATAAGTTTCTAAAATTATATTTTCAATCAAATTCGAATGAATAAACAATTATCTGACAATTGTGAATTGAATCGTATAAAATTGTGTTGATCTCTGAAATAACCTTGAATGACCAAAATCTGTTTCGTAACAAATATGGAGGGTGTGTAGCGCTAAGATCACATAACCTCGGCCCATAAAAGGTCATACGAATTGTATGCATGGACATTATTGATTTACTTGAATTATTATCGTTCCAAATCAAAATGGAAAGTACTGACTCTTTCTGGAAATAAAATTAATGAACGTTAATCATTCTATGATTGTGACATGGACTAAACACTACTGTTACAGTGATATACAGAGTGAGAACTAGTATTCGTGCACCTTCGATTATTCAATCATTAATACTGTATCAAGCGTTATCCTTTAGCATTACATTAAAAATATTCTGAATACTTTCTTCTCCCGCTGTATATGTAGTATTATTTACAAGTCTTTGAAAGGAAATATTGAAAAATCGATAGTGTCGCCTCAATCTGCATAAGTTTGTTCCACAACGAATCTGTTCCAGACAGAAGCGTATGGTAACGAGCCAAAATATTGTCGAACGTTATCGTATCACCATAAAAGAATGCGAGTTTGTATGATAACATTCGTTTATCAAGCAGAAACTGCAAGTTTAATTACTTTTAACCAGCGATCGTGATCGACTAGACAAATAACAGCCTTTTTTATCGCATGATACTTACATCTATTACAAAGTTTTACAACTTCGATTATCTATAGCTCTTAATTGTTGCAATACAATGGTAACGAACCTAACGATATAAAATATCAGCTATCGTTTTCTTTACTGTATAAAACGTGATCTTTCATAGATATGGAATTACTTTTGATAGAATATATTGCGTTAAAGCTTCGCATAGTCTTACTACCGCGTACCGGGTGTTTGATTGAACCAGTAGATACATTAAGAGACGATTCTGCGCATGGAAATGGAAAATAAAGAATTACAAAATTGTGTCGGACGCTTTTGTTTTTAAGCTATTGACGATTAAAGATTCGCCAATGAGGGCGCGTTTAAGTCAAAGCTTCGTCATTCGTGCAGCGCGTGATGGCTGTGGCTCGACTCTCGTGGACTCTCATTGGCGGATCTTCAATCGTCAATAATTCGAAGATGGAGTCTGCAACGAAATATTTTCATTCTTCATTTTTGTTTTTCTTTGACTCGCAGAATCGGCTAAAGCATCCATTACGCATAATCGAACACACTATAAAACTAATTCAAGTTGTTTAATTAATCATCGATCGATAATTATTCCTTTAATTCGATAAAAATTCTGCTTCCTTCCATAGAAGCACATACGGCGAACTTGTTTCAAATTCGCATGGATACAAAGCAATAGAATTTTGATATAATAAAGACATGATATTCATAAAATTATTGTTATGACGATGCTCAAATTTCTGAAGGTCTAATATACGATCTTTAAAGTCATCATTGTTGGACGAAATTTGAACATTCGTTGGTTTGACACTTTCGAGAGATCGTGGACACTAACATATTATTCGCTAATAGGAATATCATTGGAAATAGCATTGGCTCACGATTCGCAAATGAATCGTGTATTGACTACAATTGCAATTTTCGTCGGTTAACATGTTGGTGATGAATCGTTTTGGACTTACACAATTAAGACAATTATCTAACTATAGACTAGATTTGGAAGGACCGGGAGAATGAGATATAATAATAACAAAATTTTAGCTTCAATGTGTCGTCTAAGATAGCCGCAGACTTGTCTAATAAAAATACTATACAGAAAAAGATGTGGTGAGTCACTTAAAGCTGTATTCAATTACACTTACCCCTCGACTCCATACATATTTCTCCAGGCAATTTCTAATTTTTTAAGAGGGTACAAAACATGCTATGCAGCAGAGAAGATAACGAAAAATAGTAACCAGTATGTCAGCGCATGATATACTCATACGTTAATAATTATATCCAAATATTGATTTCTAAATAAACACGCTGTGTGATGCATTGTGACACTTAATGCGAGTAGATCGTGTTCATTACAATAGACACAAATATTCTAGAACCGCATTAGCCATAGTTTCATCCAATTTCTCAGTTCTGTGCTTAATAAAAAATCACAAAAATGATGTATACTAGACTTTCTACTATCTTTTGACGCTCTGCTTGCAATATATACATTAAAAATCGTTCAATACCTTAATATGCTTTGTGAGATCACAGAAGAGAATTCATAACTTACACACGTAACTTTTTCTCGTATTTTGTTGCTTGTACGATTACTTATCTTTAAAAATTTCATAGTATTAAAAAAGTATATAATTCCTTCGTGCCATTAAAGTTCGTAAAAGTGAGATAATATCAACTGCTTGCTTCCGGTATGCGATTGAGCACTAATTTCTCTTTTTTTTTGGAACGCTTCTGATAAGTTGCACGTTCGTTTCTCGATAATTAATTTAATACGCTATCATATCGTTAGTAGTGCCGACGCAATGCTTGTTTTTTACAGTTTCGCTTGTCTATCACTAGTTGCATTGGTCTTTTGAATAATAGTGTTTCTAGATGGAATGTAATAGTACTTAAATACTGAAAGACTGTTCTGCGTTTCTCGTGTACTTAATCAACTTAGAAAACGATTAAGTACTAACAACTTTTTTCTGTACAAATCGAACAGGAAAGCGATGCTCGATTTCTCAACTGTGCAGAGTTTATCTGACGCACGATTTTTTGAATGTTACGCTAAACTAAATCCTATATGTAACATTATTCAGTACAAAGCGCTTCTTTTTATATTGATCATTCCAGGAACGGTAGTTCTCGTCTCCTACTGTGTCTATAGAATTATAATCCTATGCTTTTGTCAAATATAAATACACGAACAAAATACAATCCCTAAAAGTCATGCTGTTAAATATGTATAAATGATTAAAAAATAAAGCTACAGTTAAAAAGTTCTTGTAGCCCTTTAGACTCTCAATGAAAAAAATGTATTCATAAATATTCGTATGAATTATTCATTCAGAACGCAATCGTAATTTCATGGAAAATAGTTATTATTAAAAAAAATCGATAAAAATGAATTGTCTAAAACACGATTACTGCAACATATATTTTCGAATGTTAATGCTACTCTGTAGCTGCGTTTCGAATGTATAATCCTTATCAGCACGCAGAAAGATAATATGGTACATTTGAAACTATGAGACAAGTTTAAAGGTACAATGCAGTTCTTTTTATATTATAAATATAAGGTTTGATCGTAATGGCCTCGGTTGTCCGGGTCAAAAGATGGAATTCGTTGGTATGAGAAATTAAAGCTCATTCAAGCCCACAAGACTACCATAAGAAAATAACATAAGAAATTAAAAGTAACGGAAACGGTGTACTTTGAGCTTTGTACAAAAAGGGCTTTAAAACTACGTTTACATTCGATTCTCCTAAAACTACACTTATAGTCAAATTGTCGTTCCAAATAGTTTACTGAGAGAAATGAACTTCATTGTACTCTGGTGAATCGATGCACGAGACTGCCCTACTTTTTTCGAAATGACTCAGTCGGAGTAAAAGAACACTCCAGTCGAACCCTTTGCGATCCTCCATAGTTTGCTGAGCAATTTTGAATGTTCTACTTAATTTTCTTTGTTCAACCATTAAAAAGAAAACGTATACAATGATTCACGCATTGAATATAACAATTTTATGATACACAGCAAAACTTCTAAACATTTCCAGTGAATAACGTATTAAAAGATGAGAGGAACAGACACATAAATGATACATAAAAATATTTTTATAAATGCTTGAATCATTATACAATCATAAATAAAACCATAAAATTTGCATAAATGTTTTCAGTCTATTTAATTTAATGAGAGGGCTTTGAATATTGCTAATGTTTAAGACAATGTAAAACAATAAATCATGGATTGCAAAGTGACTGACTTTTAAAAATAACTATAAAGCAAAGAAAGAAAGGTAGAAAAAAAGACATGGATTCGCAAAGGATTAAATGCAGAATAACTCAAACAATTAGACTATGAGTTGGTCATGCTAAAACCGGCGTATGTCTTATCGCTAATCCGTATAGTATTTCGACTAGGGCTCTTACTATTATGTGTACTTACGGATACTCGCACTTGAGAATCCGAGTACCTGAATATTCAGTTCAGAACCAAATATCAGAATACATCCGAGCAATCGGATAATTAATTAGTTTAAATCCGAGTAGTCAGATACTCGTTTAATTTCGATTTCGGCATTCAAGTACTTCGATACTAATTCAATTTATACTTATCGAGTACTCGAATACGCAGTTAATAAGAGCTCTAGTTTTAATGTGACTATGTTGAATGGCACATAGAGAAACATATATCATTTCGATCATGCAAACGTGGTACTCGTCAAAGTTGTACAACTATAAAAAGCTCTCTCTTTCTCTCGGGATCTCCTTCGATTTTCTTTGGGACCAGGATTAACTATCCTGTACCGTGCTCTGTGAGTGTTCCTCGTCCGTTTCCTGGTACTTGTTAAAAGGTACCGGACGCTCAGCCCTTTGCGATCCTCTTCCCTTCTCATAGTCTCTAGAAAATGATCCGACGTATTAAAAAAAATCTCTCTCCAACGAAAAATTCCACACAAAAAAGTCCAAACGAAACGTTCACACATACAAATAATAATAAATCAGTGATACAGAGTCGCGAGGAAATTACTTTTAAGAATGTACGCGTAACCTTCGTTGTTCAAGATGCTTTCAGAATGATATCGTGGCAAAAGTGGACCGTAAAGGGTTCAGCTTGGCAACGATCGTCCGATACAATAGAAGTTAATATGTACAACGTGTAATCTCACAGAGCAGAGTCGTCATTTGAGTTGATTGTAAAATATATGATAAAAGGTCCCATCGAAAGGTGAACCGTTAATTATCAAGTGCTCTCTTGGCAGTCTCTCCTCTGCGAACATGTTCATATTGTAACTCTTTCATGCGTGAGAGGTAGCAGTACTTTTCTTACAATTGTACTATTCACTCGACGACATTTCAATCAATAAATTATAATAAATAACGTAATAGGATGTTCTTAAAATTGGAGGAGATCTTAAAGGGATAAAGTTCATTATTAAAATGTCATGCTGAGTACTGGTACTCTGGTATCAAGTTCTATCGCCTGGGACATGAAAGAGTTTATTCAGATACTGTCGCATAAGTGTATATAATTACTTTTCAATACTCTTGTGATCATGGACTACTGTTATAAATATTATGTACTTTCATATATAACAGAATTTGTATGATTTAGCAAATAAAAATCTGTAATCCACACATAACATTCTAACAAAATTTTGATCACAAGAGGATTGTGAGATCCAAGGAGAAAAACTGATTTGTAAATGATACAGGTACTGTTAGACATCGTTCAAATGAACATCTTGCGCTTTCACAATAATATTGAACGATGTTTCAAACAATTATTTAAAACTGGGTGACACTTGGAATATAAACTAATTTGTCAGAAGTAATTAGACGCATGGTCGAACTTCTGAATTAAAAGTGAAAAAATATTTTACAAAAGCTGTTTTAGAAAAAGTTCTTAAAAAGTATATTGCAATAAATTTTGCTATGAATATATAACATGATCAAAGTTCATTGTGCATCATCAGTCTATTGAAATAACTTTTTATATTTCCGACAAATTAATTTAGAAATGAAGATGTATAACAGAGTATACTATTTTACAAAACGTCACCGATTGTCACCAACAAAATTCCTTAAAACTGCCATCTTTCGACTCCCGTTACCGCAACTGGCGGATACAGAAACAAATAATCAGGGTGTTGAAAGAAGCAGCACTTAAATCGGTATCACCTTTCGATCATTATCTGCGGGACACTGTGTGTCTAGCACAAAAACAAAAATAACATTTTTTTAAATTCAGGAGATTGTGTGTACTGATGAATAAAGTAAAGACACGTTTATCACGTATATTTGATCATTTTTTTGAAAGCGTATATATATATGTATGTATTATATATTAAGATACAATCTTGCGTCGTTGCGGAGCTTCAGAAGTATTCGACGAGTCCGCAACTAGGGAGAAGTCGTCTTCGTTCTTCTCGGAGGCCGACATACAGCATCCATCGTTTCAGCTTTTCTGTAAACCGCAACTGAACACGACTCTCGTGAAACAAAACCATCCCACTGTGCCGGCTTTTGTCATACAATTCATCTCTTTTCTATATTTTTGTTTCTGTGTAATCAAACACGCTATTTCGTGTATCCCCCGAAAAACTAAATAGGTTTCATTTCAAAATGTTACATAGAGATATATGTATGTTGTGTTGTGTCTACGCTTTGCGATCGCGTTTGTTTTTAGTGTAATACATATATATATATACATATATTTATATATAATTATGCATATATAAATATATAGTGTATGCTGTGTATAACATATGCATAAAACTTTACAGCATATATAAATATATATACACATATATGTATGTGTATATATATAAATTTTTGATAATATACACACACACACATGTACATATATACATATATATATAATATATATATATATATATATACGTATGTATTTATATTTAGTATAAGAATACATACATTAACTTGGTAAAACTCGCGGCAGACTTAACACTTTCCTGTTTACACTGATTTTTCAGAGCAAAAATCGAGATTGTTATTAAAATCTTGTTTTGTTACAGGTCAGCAATAACACATTGACTGTGTGCCAAACTTAAAAATTCGTTTTTGTAGTGGATATGTAAACTAGACATTTTTAAATGCAAAAATGGTATAAGTGATGTCTACTTTTCATTGAATAATATCATGATGATTCATATGAAAGAGATGTCATTTTTGGTATTACTAAGATTGCAGAGCTTCTTAGGTAGACTACCTTGATTTATATAACTCTCATAAGTCAACGTGTTAATCTGCAAATTACATTCAACAATAAAAATCCTCCAGCATCAATGACTTAATTCTTTCAGTTTCACAAACTTACAGTTTAGAATCAATATTTTGCGACCCTTGCTCCCCATTAACAAACCATTGTTCAGCTAAATTGTAATGTCCATACAATAGTAAAAGGATTAATTTTAAGATGAAGAGTGGGTGGCAAAACGTTGAAGAGATAATTGTCTGGTGATCTTCGTGTTTCGTTCAGGAAAGTGTTAAAAGATCTAGAGAATCGAATGAACAGAAGAAACGCATATCCTCTTGGGTCCATTTTTATCCCAGAAGTCTTCGCAAGAGAACCAACGACGAGATGTCCCATACTGCCTTGTGACTTGACCTTTCTCTTCGCATTCTCTATAGAGTCCTCTCTCTCTCTCTCTCTTTTTCTCTCTCTCTCTCTCTTTCTCTATTTGTCTTTCTCATCAAGCGATAAGGTTATTCTTTAATGTCTCGAGCGATGCGATGAGTCTCCACGTTCGTCGCGACGATCTCTTTCCCGTTCACGTTCCCGTTCACGCTCTGGTTCTCGTTCTCTCTCTGATGGTCTCCGGCTTGATTCTCGTTCTCGATCTCTCTCTCGTTCACGCTCTCTGTAGCGATCGTCATAATACCTACACAAGTCACGTCAGCCAATTATCTTACTTTAACGGTGTACCATTTTTGTTTCTTATTTATTGTTTTGTCTTTAAAATGTACATCGAATTCTTATCTTTACGCTAAGCTTTCTTGTGACAACGCGTTACTCTCCTTCTCGTTATACATGTTTTTTTAAATTGTTTTATGCTCCTTTTTCGTTCAGTTGGAATATCAGGCGTTGTTGAAGATGAGTCTACCACAGTGAGGAATTAAGCTACCCCTGGCAAACCGTGAGAAATCGCCAATGAAAATATAAATATTTCATATAAAAAAAATATAGAACGTATGGTCATTTAATTTTAAAAATGATAAAAATTGGAAATTTTTGCTGAAATAGCGACAGTTATTTCATTGTACTTTTATCAGTCAAAGATTTTTTACATTTCCCAAGATAATTGTATTTTATTATGAAACACTTTTCACCAGGGGTAGAGTATCGAAATTCGATTCGTTGAAAAGCTGAGCAAATATATGAAACATAAGAGGCAATTGTTATGATAATACACAAAAAGTTGTTTGTAATGTACTATATATAGGATGAACTGTCTGAATGTAGAACCTAAAATAACTTTGTCCTTTTTAATAGCATAACAAATATTTACTTTAAACAGGACGCTATTATAATAAAATAAATGTATTTAAATACTGTTCATGTCATTCAAAATGACAAAAATATTTTTGGTTCTGGCTTCAGGAGACATTCTGTATATCGGCACCTAAACGAGCAAAGTGTACGATGCAAATAGGGACTGGAATAATTATACTAAAAAAATTATTCGATCAAGTTCGTCTGTACAATTACATTTCACTTATTTATCTTTTTTCTTTGTAATAACAGTTATGATAGCAAGACTGAAACTCTTCTCTTCCTCTTTCTACTTGTCTAAGCATCCCTTGAAACTGATCTAGTATCATCGAGTCTTAAAGCTTAATCCTCGCAAAATCCCGTGACGGTTCAATATTGATTCATATACATCTCTTTAATTTTTCCATTATTTACCCTGAAAATATTGAAACTAATCCATTCAAATTTTTTGATATACAACATTTTAGTAGATATTATAAGATATTTGTTTAAATGGGACATCCTGTATATTTTAGAAATTATATTTGTGACTAAATAGACCCGACAAGGACCAACGAGGATTAATGGTTTCTGGCACGTCTAGCGGCCCTGTTTAAACCTCTTTTGCATCGAACAATGGATAGAACGTTTTGTTTCGACAAATACTACATGCATTCACTTTAATGGAAAAAAAGTATAAATTACCTAGACGCCTTGGAAGACGAGACGGGAGGCGTCTCTGGCGGTTCTTCTTTTACTCTTGGCCTGGCTGACTGACGTGTCGTACTAATGGAAAATGCATACACTTTGTTATGGACTTATATTGTCACCCGGAGCTTAGTACGTTTGCTTTAAGTTAAAACAAGAAAATATATTGTTTTGTTGCTTTCTCTCACAAATTTAGGAATGACCGCACGTCGGTATGACACCTCGATTACTCCACGATTTAAAGCTTAAACTAATTTGTGAAATGTTTCCTGTATATCAAAACTAGTATATAAACATACGCACTCATAGTTCTGCAGAGTTATGCATTTATCAATCAAGACTTTCTGTTTGTTTCATTAAAAATAATTGATTGTCGCATGTCATAATTTACTAGGTCGATTTATCAATTTATTTATCAGTGTCTAGAGTGTTCATTCAGAATAACTGAGAAATGAATTTCATAATCAATTATTAAACCAATTAACTACACCGTTAACTGCAATTAATAATCATATATTCCAGTTATAATCATTAATTGCATTAATTATCGCTCAACTCTGCAGTTCACGAACAACTTTTACTTTCGGCATGTTGTGTCAATTAAAATAAATTACAATTAATGGACTTGCACAAGTGCAATTATACACACTTCCGCAAGGAACCTTGTAATTTATATTTCACTTAATTCCTTAAATCTGAAACTATACTTCTATGCACTTGTACAATAATATAGATTAATACAATACATAATATACAATGAATGATAAATATCTCATGCATTTGTATAGTTCCAGTGTTAATTATCTCATTGCAATAAAATTTATATACATACTACCACAATGTAAAAACTGTATAAATAATAAACGAATAATATTTATATGTGATTG